CCAACTGTGTGCGCATACAATTACTTCTTTGCATGTATACAAATACTTAAAAATATACAATGCTCAACTACAAACTGCGCGCGCGAAGCGCGCGTTTTGCCATTTCTAGTAAACTATAAAAGCGAGGTGAGGAAACAATATACATATTAAAAACAATTGTATTAATATTTTAAAATAATATTGCTACAACCCTACTAAAGTAATATTATAAAATATCTATGTAACATTACACTGCAATATGCAATGTTGCAATGTTGCAGCAATGTTGTTGCAAGCTTTTGTGTTGTATGGGGAGTTACCTGTCTAACGGAAGCCGGGTTTCGTCATGTACGAAAATAACTCGATGATTAGTACACATGTTGGATGCAGGCTACTTTAGAATATGCGTACCTTAAATAAGCAGCACACTATGCGCGTATATTATATTATTAGATGTTTCATAATGTGTTGCATCATCACAAGCATTCGAATGTCAATGTTAACGCGATTTCGCAGTGATGCAGCTGCCGCATAGCGTATACCTACTACCAGTTTTTCCGTCGACAGTCGATACTCGCTTGCAACGTCGAAGGTGGATGTTTCCGCCCGTCACCGACCTCTTTTAGGAGAAAGTATAAAATCATGATTATCTTGTGCATGGTCTTCCACGAACATTAATCATGGCGTTGGGTTTAAAAACGATGGTAAATTTATATTGTCAATCATCATCTTAAAAATCGTGGCCTAATTCTAACAGCAGTATACAATGAACAAGTAGTAAAACTGAAAATCATTGTATTAAACATTTACTTAATTGTAGAGAGCATTTAAAAACAAAAATTTATGGATAATGTACAACAATTCTGTTTAATTAACGCAAAAATAACAATTAATCATTACGAAAGCCTTTATAGTGTTTAATTTATAAAATTATTATAATATAATATTGCAAATTAACTTAAATACAACCGAATAGGATTAATCTGCCCATTTTTCCTATAGTTAAAAGTATCTATGTAATGTACACGTATGTACAAACATAGTATAAACCAGAAAATTTTATTAACAGTTATCCTATTATATATTTTCACTATAATTATTATATTATAGAAGTAAAAATGAATTATTTTGTTTTATTATCATCTCCTAATGGTTTTAATAATTATTTTCACAATTTAATTGCGCAGTAACAAGGTAATTGTAAATTTTGTAGTATCTATACATATATTGTAATTTATGATATAGAATCGTATCACATATGCATAATACGTTGCTTTTTTTAAATGTTATCTGTATTACATAAGTAGAGCGTCGATGTCAGCACAAATAAATGTAATATGAATACGAATAGCTAAATTTAATTTACAAAACAAGCATCAATTATTTATTTTAACAACTTAAAGATGAAATACTATTACATGAATCAATATGTGATGTAAACGCATCCTTTTACTTTGTGAGCTGACGCTGACGCGAGGCAGCTTCCAAAAGTGTAGTAAAATCATATTCAGGGTCCAGATGCAAAAGCCGGCAGGATAAATTCCACAATTTCTTAGCGTATTGATCATCTTTCGCTCTCCATTGCGAAATGGCGACGTTACAGTTTCTGTCAAATTGAGAATTATATAGTAATGTCGTTCCTCAAAAAAAATGCACCGTTTAATTAAATATTTCACTTGTTTACTGCATTATAAATTGCATTGTATCTACAGTAGTTATACACGATAGTTATACACGTTTGTATGGTACACTCTTACGAATAATAGAGTCCAGACTGGTTGGCTACTTTTTCATCCACTGAACAATATATTGTCGTTTGCACTCCTTGTACAATGTTCTTACAAAATGTCCTTGTAAGTAAATTAAAACAATAGTACGCTCCCAAAAACATTGCATTGTCACCGTGTCGAAAGATTTGCGTCGGTACAAGGCCGGGATGCAAAGAATACACATTTATTCCATGAATGTTTGCCTCTAAAAAAATCGAAATAATATTATATTTAAAATTAGATAAAAATAAGATTTCTATTCCTTTATGAATCGATGGTAGCACAACTTTTTGCATATTATAATAAAATAATAATATAAAAGTCTTTCTGCAATATATTATTGACAACTACTTAATTATTAGCATATGTTAAATACAAATGACGTACAATTTATTATACGACAGCAAATAAGAATCTATTGCTCTTTTCGTAATATCTACTTTTTACTTACTTTGCAATCGATATGCAAGTTCCTTGGTGATCAAAATAATCGCCAGTTTAGATTGATAATAAGCGGTCATTAAGCCGCGAGCTTTATCCAGATTGATATCATCGAAATTTATATCACCGACTGTAATAGAGCACTTTTATAAACTTTGTTTTTACACAATTACGTTATGGATAATGATAAAAAATGTTCACGCGTGTGCCAAAGAGATAAATTCCTTCGTTTTGAAGTCACTAGCGGTCTTACATACAAAAATGCAATACAGAAGAGACGTTGACTATCCTGCAGCCAGGAGAGGATAATTGCATTTTTGGCAGCAGTAGTAACGTTAGCAGAAAATGGCCGAGATAATTTATCTGAAATAACGCTTCATGCCCATCTTCAGTTTTCTGATGCGGTAGCAACGCTACGCCGGCGTTGTTTACGAGTATATGAAGAGCTGCTTCATTTTTCAAAACGTTTTCAGCGCAATTCCTCACGCTCTTTAAACTACAGAGATCCAGGGAATAAATTGCGAGTTCCCCTGCACCATTTCGGTATTCCTCCTTATCGATCCTGAAAATCGCATCACAAATTCGACTTAGTTCAGAATTACAGATATACAAACAATAGTTAATTCAATGTGTTCCAAAGAAATAATACGAGTTTATGTGAATTTAGTCTCTTATACCCTGAAGTTGGATTATTTTTTATTTTCTCGATTGCCTCTTTTGCCAGTTCCATATTTCGACAGGCAAGAATCACTCTGGCACCTAAATATTATTTAAATTATCTCTTGTTACAGAGTAACTAACTTCTTAAATAATTAAATAAAGATAAATGTGACCTCTCAAACAGTCTCAATGAATCATAAAGCTTTACTTTATCGGAAGACAAAAACTTTGAGACTGAATTTAGATTCCCACTTGACATAGTATTTAATTACCTCTTCTGTAAAAGTCTTTAGCAGTCTCCAGGCCAAGTCCGCTATTTGCCCCTGTTATCATGGTAGTTTTACCGTCAAGACGCGCTTTACTTGTACACATTCTGTTAAAGGGCCACATTTTACGATATTTCCGCGTTCACAATAGCACTAATGTTCAAGTTTTATCTCTATTTCACTGAACTCGCTTTGCTATCCAACGTATGATACATGCAACATTCATTTTTACCGCATACTTTATAACGTATCTCGATAACGAGTGCAGGAGAAATGGAACTGCATAAGAAATGACTGTCATACTACAATTGCAAATGTAATAGATGTAACAATCAATCGTGACATCTTTGATTGATCTCTGACATGATTTCTTATTTTAAATATGCGCGGATTCTTACGTCGGCTATTTACTATTCGAGATACGCGTATTTACCTTACAAATGGAATTTGAATTAATAGCCGATAAGTGTGCAGATGTTTCTGAGCTATACATATGTATAGTCACCATTATGCACAGTTATTTTAAGATATTATATTTGTTAGGTTCGTAGGAGGGTGGAAGTACTCTCCGGATTTCGACTCCAATATATATTTAATTCCAGCTCACAGATTACACGAATAACAGGAGGACGATCACAGCGTACCTTACGCGGCGACAGTCAGCGGTAAAGAGAGCAAGCTCCCACTTTGCACCGTCATACCGGTGCTCCGAATTTCTCGCGTACATAGCGCCGCGGACCGGCGTGTGATTCGTTCTAGTCCCGCGCATTACAACTATAGATGCGCGGCCCTAACAATATTACTCCAACGTCTTTCTTAAATGTATTATTTTAAAGTAACAAATATTTGCAGATATCAATGCCATTCTGAAATAATTGTGCATTTAAAACCAAAAACAAAAAGTAATCTAAGTCTCTTAGAACGTTAGTACCATTTACTAGTATATATGTATAATATGTACATGTAATTAATATTACAATTTATGCTTTACTGGTAATGTTACTTGTCTGTTATTTTATCACTGGCAAAGAAAATATCACTCGCGTATATGTATGTTTTACAAGTCATTATTTATTGAACTACATATAGTTATGAGGCATAATGTAACCTAATAGTTAAGTTGCAAGAATTATACATGTTTTAGCCTTAACACACATATTATTATCTTATCAGTGTTATCTCTTACAATATTGCAATATTGCAGTCGTACGACAAAAGGAATTTCGCAATTTTTTATATTGTACGAAGTAGATATAAAAATACTTTCTTCTGTAAATAGAGGACGCACGTTAGTAGATATCGTATACATTATATGTGACGTATGTAAAATCATAACAAGTATAAAATAAAACAATCAAATACAACATTTTAAACATATCGTTTTAGATATTGTTTTAGATGTCTATGCACTCTACAAAAAGAAGGGTATAACTTTCAATGGGTTACAGCTCTGGGATTGTTTTATTTCTGTTTTCATATGCATTTTTCTTCGTAGAAACCGAAAAAGATTATTATAATAACGCCAGACTTAAAGAAAAATTGGTACGTTGAAATAAAATGAATAAAATTCTTATTCGCCTCGTTACCCCTATGGAAAATAATATATTTCATTATACATATAAAGAAAAATAGAAATGGTATATTTGTTTTATATAATTTTATATATCTCGTATATGCGATATAAAAAAATATTATTAATATATAGAATTTGGCACTTTTCATATATCATTCATAATATAATATAAATATATAAACAAATGGGTCTTTCAATAAGGACGCTCGACTTTTAAATGTAAATAAAACAAGTTGTGTGTGAGATATCCACTCCATTTTTATTTTATTTGAAAGAATATTTTATGGCATTAAGTATGAAATATAACGTCTTTCAAATGTCCGCCGCGACTTTGCTTGGTGGCACGTATTCGGGAGTTTCAATTTTTGATGACTTTGTCGCATAAATCTGGCTGAGTTTGCTGGATGGCGTTCGTTATGTTGACTTTGAGGGCATCAATTGTTTGCGGTTTATTCGCATAGACGCGCTTGCCGTTGACGAAACTGGCATTTCCATAATCGTCAACGGCGAGCGCTGCAGATCGATGATAAGCAACTTTTTGTGGCCTAAACTGCAGATAATATGGATACCGACGACATGTGGTTCCAACAGGACGGCGCTACGTGCCACACAGCGTATTGCCCATTCTACACCTAGGGATGATCCTACTTGTGGCTCATCCGATACTCGCTTCTATACCTAAAGCTAATCCTACTTACAGCTTATCCGAGGAAGTAGTATAAAGTGTAAAAGGTACACTGTAGTTGTACTTTGGTACGATTGGAAACCAACCAAAGTGTAAACCTTTTACACTTTATACTACTTCCTCGGATAAGTTGTAAGTAGGATTAGCTTTAGGTATAGAAGCGAGTATCGGATGAGCCACAAGTAGGATCATCCCTAGGTGTAGAATGGGCATTAGCCACGATAAACATTCTGCACGAGCGATTTGAGGGCGTGGTAATCTCGCGCGGCGGCGACGTAAACTGGCCACCGAGATCGTGCGATTTAACGCCTTTAGACTTCTTCCTTTGGGGCTATCTTAAATAACTTTTACAATAACTTTTACTGAACTTTATTATATTTTTGTGTTTGATTTTTAGATGACGAAGAGGACTGATGCGCATCTGCTCAGTCCTTCTAGACTTAAGAGAGCGGGCTGGACCGTTTGCCTTCAAAACTGAGAGAACCTAGGATTCTTTAAGATAAAAGTAACCGCGAGGATCCCGCTGTCTTCTTCTTTTGTACGAGCTACAGCGGCTCCATTGATTCGAAAATACCTGAAGCACCTACTTTTGATGTTAATTTATTGAAATAAACATTAGGGAAACGGTTACGATTGCATAAATATTCGAAAAATTTAAAAATGCGCAATGGGTACCCAGGTACCCGGATATGCAACAACGTGGGTAAAGTTGGTTATGCACACAAGGGTTAAATCACAGGTCTATGCGAATAAACCGCAAACAATTGATGCCCTCAAAATCAACATAACGAACGCCATCCAGCAAACTCAGCTAGATTTATGCGACAAAGTCATCGAAAATTGGACCTCCCGAATACGTGCCACCAAGCAAAGTCGCGGCGGACATTTGAACGACGTTATATTTCATACTTAATGCCATAAAATATTCTTTCAAATAAAATAAAACTGGAATGGATATCTCACACACAACTTGTTTTATTTACATTTAAAAGTCGAGCGTCCTTATTGAAAGACCCTGTACATACATATTTATACTTACGTACGCGCACAGGTACAACGTGTATATGTATAGAATTTTACTCATTTTGTGTGTGTGGGTGTGTGTCCCCGAAAAATCACTATTTCCAATTTAATAACATTTTACAGAAGAAATACCAATCGGAAATAGTGACTTTGAGGACAAAGATTTAATAATTTTGAAAAAACCCAGTTAAGAATCGCGTTCAGTCACATAATTATTTGTTAGAGTAGATTTTAAGTTAAATATACAGGGTGTACTAAAACCACCGGATATCCTTTTAATAATAAATTCTTTAGAAACTTTCAAGACAAAAATTCTAATAAAAAACTGTTGAGGCTATAATAGTTTTTAAATAATAAGCGATTACATTTCACAAATGACAGGCCTGAGATTTCGCGCGCTCAGGTACGGCGACACGACAAGTGATAAAGGTGTTCCTACGAATATCGCCTTTTTTAGCATAGTGACAACAGACTTAACGATTTATTCTCGAATTAATTGTTCCTCTTGTTATCTTTAACCATTTCTTTTGTTAACTTTGTGTAACGTCTTATTAATAAAAGGGAGGGTTTCACTATGATGAGCATCTTGATCAGACTGATATCCTTCGATTTAGTCGATCTCCGATATTCTGAGTGAACTTGGAATTTTCAGTTAGATTCAATCTAGTCTCCTGCCTCTCTTTATCCTCAAGTTTTTAATATAACCGGATCATCGTCTTTCCAAATATTTTCTGTCCCGTTAAACGGTGACTTTGGTTCCCGCTCGCTCGCGAAACACATAGGAACACTTTTATCACTTGTCGTGTCGCCGTACCTGAGCGCGCGAAATCTCAGGCCTGTCATTTATGAAATGTAATCTCTTATTATTTAAAAACTATTATAGCCTCAACATTTTTTTATTAGAATTTTTGTCTTGAAAGTTTCTAAAAAATTTATTATTAAAAGGATATCCGGTGGTTTTAGTACACCCTGTACAATACATCATACATAATTGTTTTAGACGTTTAATGTTTACAGTGTTTTATGACTGTTATTATTTTCTTCTTTTTAACTGTGCCATTGCAAGCATCTCAAAAGAGATGTAACATATTACATTAATTTTACCATTTATTTTGTTGAAACATATTAAGAATACTTTTATACATCAAATTCATATATGTATGTGTACAGACACCGTATATTCCATCACCATTCTTTATATTTCTACGGATTTTGTGCATATAAACATAAAAATGTGTCAAATACAGAAAATCATGTGTGTTACCCACGATTCAAAGATGTATCACCTCATCAAATTGGTGCGAGACATTTTCCAAAAATACAGAAAAGTTTTCATTAAGTTCTAAATCCAGAAGCTGACAAGTGTGATTCCATAAATCTTTAGCTACTTGGTCATCGGTTGCACTACAACTCGGTCTGGTAACTTGACATTCTCTATTAAAAGAATAAGTTGTGAAAAGAATTATTTATTGAAAAATATAAATTTGATATAACCAATACAAGTCTAAAATGCAAATATATATGTATATAACTAAAAATTCAACTTTTTTTTCTTTTTTTATGTGCAATTAAATTATTTATGTATATATTTCTTTCTATAGTATTTGATTTCAATCTCTATATCAAGTACAGTTATACAATCTTAATTAAGCTCTCAATCAATTTTAGTTCAAATTCATTAGCACCAATAGATAACAGGTCGACAACAACATTTTATCAAGACATCAAATAAAAAATGTGCGTACACAAATTGTTAAATTACACATGTGTGAGAAAAACATAACAATTTTATTACTCATATAATTACGCCTTAGTCTTGCATTGGTTTTATATTCTACATTTATTAGATTACAAAAAAGATGTGCTATCATATATTTTGTCCTTACGAGTAATAGAGACCAGTCTCATTAGCCACTTTTTCATCAACCGCACAGTGTATCGTTGTTTGAGCTCCTTGTTCAGGAGATTTGATGAATGGGTACATAACATATTTATAGAATAATGTTGAACCCGGAATTATCGTGCTATTAAAGCTTCGACCCAATTCGGTTTTTATGACACCAGGATGTAAAGAGTATGTATTTATTCCGCTAATGTTCGCATCTGGAAATCAAATTTACATAAAAAATGAGGAAGGCTGAGTGAAAATCAAGCATTTGTAACATGAGTGATAATAATTAATTTCAAATACTTGTTAATAACTTATACTTTTTGATATTTTTCCTAGCAACAACAAACTCTACTTAAATATACTATTTATCTTTCAAGGAAATGTCACACCGTCAAAAGAATTAATAATTATATGAAAAATTTATATTTTTACTGACCATAGACAATTCTTATATGTATAATAACTGCGATACTTTTAAAAAATATTAATAAAATAATTATACTCGTACATACATACATATTGTTAATTAATTTTTAAAAATAATTTATGTATAACTAATTATATTTTTAATTAATTTTAATTCTTCAATTTTTCTTACTTTTCAATCGATGTTCAAGTTCCTTCGTAAATAGTATGTTGGCCAGTTTGCTTTGCAGATATGCTTTCCAAGGACGGATGTACGACCACGATTTTTCGAGATTCATATCATTAAAATGTATTTTGCCAACTGCAATAGATATTGTTCAGTGGGTAATTATTATTTGCTTACTTATTATAATATACATATGTATATGTATTTATTATGTATTATATATTATGATCACATAATTATGTATTAATAATATAACGATAGTATAATGTTAATTAAATAATTTCTAAACAATTTTTATGTTGTATATAAAGTTTTTTAATTCTAATTAATTCTTCATAAATAAATATTTTTAAAGGAATAAAGGACTAAGAACCATGACAGAGTGTTAGTGTCCAAATATTTGATATTTTTAAATTTATTCGAAAAATATTACCTCAGCCAGGATTTTTTTCGCAATAAATTTAAAAATATGAAATATTTAGACACTAACACCCTGTCACGGCTCTTAGTCCTTCATTCCTTTAAGTTTGTGTTTATTACACATTTAAGCCACGCGAATTTTAATAAATATTTTGCTGTATTTTAGCATTGCAAATGTGCTCAATCTCAATCACACAAAAATACAATACATTTATGATAACAATTTATAATAATGTATTTTATACACACAGACACAATCTTTTTCTTTTTATTGATTGTACCTAATTTCTCTGATTTACTTTTTACGTACACATATGACCTACAGATGATACGTTGACAATCCTGCAATCAGGACTGGACGATTGTATTTTCGGCAATAATAACAACGTTAAGAGGAAATGTCCAAGATAATTCGATTGCAACTGTATCTCGAATCCATCTTCAGTTATCTCATATGGTGCAAACATTATACCGGCATTATTTACTAATATATGAATGGCCGGTTCTTTCGCCAATATCATCTGAGCACATTCTCTTACGCTTTGAAGACTAGAGAGATCCAGCGGATAGACCACGAGATGGCCTAGCTTGCCTTCCAATTTTTCATTTCGAGAACTAAACGTTAACAAACAATAATTATTATAATTAATTTTTTTAATACAATATAATTGCCTGTGTTAGATCAGAGTCGTTCTTAAAATGATGTGATGCGACTTTTGCCGATAAAGAAATTTATAAACATTGCTTCCAATTTCTCTTGAAACAGAAGTACGTTAATACGTAGATACTAAACTTTTCATTATGAGTATTAAAATTGTTTCAATATTCAACAATTATCAACAATTATCTACGCAATAAGGTAACCAATTTTTCTCAAGTATATTTTTTCATATTTTTCAATAAAGTGGTTAAAGTATCAAAATATGTGTTTGTATCGGGTTGTATCGAATAGATTAGTTTTTCATTTTAATGAGAATATTCTTAAAAATTGCCAGATACGGTCAATAAAAATCACTGATATCTTTTTATTTTATTATTAGTTTCACCAAAATATATTATTTCCAAACCATTTTCTATTACAGATTTTACGTGGTAAACTGTAATTCTTTTTTCAAAATTAGGAAAAACATAGAGAACCACTTTGTTTCTCTACTAATCAGACATCGACTGTAAAAATTTGAAATTATTCTCTAAAGCTGTTTTCGAGAAAAATTGGGAGAGATTTTCATGAATTTTTTTACCGGCGGAAACGTGTGCGAAACTTTGTTACACTGGCCTAGTTTACATCGTGTATTTGATACGCGTATCAAGTACTATATTCGTACGAAATAATTAAGTACGCACGATATAAACGCTGCCGGATCAACTTGGTACGAGCATATCAAATAGGAGTATCGTATTAAACTGATACGCGTATCAAATGATACAAATGACGATGTAAACGCATGAAACGCATTGTGTTCGTTTCATACTTTTATAACCTGTAAAGTCGTCAACTGTAACATTCGTTTCGCGAGGCAGACCGCCGCATTTTTTGTCAGATTGTTTCGTTTTGTGTCAAAATTACATTAAAATGTCATGTAAAAAAGGATTCAATTGGAAAGAAGAAGAAATACGAATATTTCTAGAGTTATGCACGGAGAAGCAGATTATGAGGCAATCGACATGAATTAAATTCGTATTATTTTTTCCGGTTGGTACACTCGATGTGATTTGATGTAAACGCACACGTATTAAAGCCTAATGTTTTGACGATGTAAACTAGGCCACTGTCAACTTCAATAGCAACTCAATAATAACTTTATGTTTGGTAACTGCTCATAATATACTAGGCATAATGCAAACAGAATAATATCGAACTTAACACAGTGAAAATTAAAAATTAGCTACATGAATTCTAATTTCTCCAAACCAAACCAAATGTTAAGATCTCCTTAATAAAATTAACGTAATATATTATATAATATATTAGAAAATAAATTAGCATCGCCGAAAAGAGACGACAGTAGAATTCAATAATTTTAAATGTTATACATATTAAAGTAAGTTTTGTAACATATTAATATTAGCTTATAGATACAATTTCGTATATTTACCTGCGAAACGGCTTACTTTTTATATCATTTATTGCGGCATTCGCTTTCTCAACATTTCTGCAGGCCAGGATTACTCTTGCACCTAAACGTAAAATTTATATGCATTTATTTAAATGCTGTTATTTTATTTACTTCGAAACAACATTGAGTTTATTCCCCAGATAGAACATAATACATATATAATGTGACTCATCGTACATTGAGCAAATTGTGCTTTTTATTATGTTAGCAAAAATCGGGCAATTATCATGCATACTTATATACGCATACCACGTACTTCTCTAGCTATTCTCATGCAGTTTTTTAAAAAATTTGGTTTTGTGTTTTAGGTTAAAAACTGAAGGAGATATCTTACTGGCCGTTTTTAAGAACATTTTTCCGAACTTTGTCCAATACAGTCGCCATTTTGTACGAAAAGGAAAATTATTTAAATAAGCACCTATTTTTACGCTTTTTGCAGCGACCTTGCCCCTTGATTTTGTATGCCAAAACTTCCTCGGAGGTTTCATTAAAAAAGGCGCAGTTTATTACAACAGAAAGGCGTTTACCCTGAAAACCACTTTACCTCGGTCTATTATAAGAACACTTTTCATTAGCTACAAGTCAGTTTTGAATGAAAGAGGATTCAGAATACAGGCCTTAGTAAAAATGTTTTTATACTTCAGAACAATCAGAACATGTATAATTAACTCCTGCAATTAGATTTTTGATTCCTTATTCTGCATCCTCGTGAAAAAAAATTTAAATAAGCACCTATTTTTACGCTTTCTGCAGCGACCTTGCCCCTTGATTCTGTATGCCAAAACTTCCTCGGAGGTTTTATTAAAAAATGCGCAGTTTATTACAACAGAAAGGCGTTTACCCTGAAAACCACTTTACCTCGGTCTATTATAAGAACACTTTTCATTAGCTACAAGTCAGTTTTGAATGAAAGAGGATTCAGAATACAGGCCTTAGTAAATTGTGACTTCCGTTTATTTTTGTTACAGATAGCAAGCTGTAGTGCAGACGAAGAATTGTCTGCAGCGTTAAATGTTACTCCGATGGCTGTTTCCAAACGTCTACATGCAATGGGAAAGATTCAAAAGGAAAGGAAGTTATTCTTTTGCACGACAACGCACAGCGTATTAACCATATTTGGCTCTTTCAGATTATCACTTGTTCGGATCGATGCAGCACTGCTTGGTGGATACACACTTAAAAAATTACTAGGACATGCGAAAATGGATTGATGAATGGATTGCATCAAAAGACCAATCGTTCTATCGTTGCGTAATCCACTCATTGCCAGAAAAATGAGAAAAATGTATAGCTAGCGAGAGCAAATACTTTGATTGGTGTATTTTTTGCTTTTGATATCGAAATAAATGAGTTTGTTAAACGAAAAACACCGCGGAAACTAAGTTTACCACCTAATACAAAGGAACGTTCATGTTTTCATGTGCTTTATTCGGCATGTACATTCGACTATATTTGTATTTCAATGTTTCGTTTCACATGGCACTTCGATGTATCGGGTGCATTTGGGGAGCTTCAATAACTATCGTAAAGGCGGGATATTTTATTCGCATTCAGAAATACAAACTCATAAGTAGAAATCAGAGCCGTATTCTCATAATAATTAGGGTTGTAACGAATATTCGCTTTCGCATATGCGAAAGCGAGACTTTTGCATCATTTTAGACTCTTGCTTTCGCTTTCGCTTTCGCAACTAATTATGCGAAAATTTTAGCGAAAGATTTTGTCCGGCCCGCACGTAGAACTCTAACCTAACCTACAATATTTTAGAGCTTTATTTTATTCTGAAATGATAGAAAATGTTTATTTTGTTTTATTAGAAAGTGATATCTCCGTTCCTGTTCTGTGTTACATTGCAATAATGTATTTTATATGATTATAATTAAAATAAATAAGTTACTAATTTACTAATTTGCATTTCTCATTCAATAATTTGAATTAGAAATATTTTTTAATTATTATTAGATTATTAATTACATAACATTTTTTCCTAACTGTCAATTATATCATTCAGTAGAAAGAAACAAGATCTTTCGCATTCGCATTCGCTTTCGTTATAACCACTTTCGTTACAACCCTAATATTAATCATAAGTAGACATACTAAAATTACCACTTTAATTAATTTTGTTGTTCCAAAATTAATATTTACCTCTTCTGTAAAAATCTCTAGCAGTCTCCTTGCCGATTCCACTATTTGCACCTGTTATAACAGCAATTTTGCCATCCAAACGGACCCTACTGGTGCACGGTACGCTCCAAATCTGCATGTTTCCTCTCTTTGGCTGCCACTTAACTATCTATTCTGTGAAAGTTTTAGAAGCAGAGTTTTTAGAATATATGTATAGATATTAATACGTGTAGAACCGGAGACTCTCGGTAAAAAAAAGACAAACTACCAGCGGCCACGCCGGTTTTACTTGTTACCCTTTTATTTGGCTGTTTCCAGCACTTTAGTCCGCTGTTATTTTTAGAACTACTCCGCTACGCCCATTTTCAAGCACTGTTGATAGTCTCCACTTGGTGCGTATCCGTGCTATGCATTTTGACATGTAATTTATAAAGTTTACATTGTCCACGTGAAAAAAGTTAATGTAAGCATCATGTAAACAATTTGTGTAGACGTAATTTTGAAATTTACGGCATAATTCTAGAAAATGGGCGTAGCACGGATACATACCAAGTGGAGACTTTATCGAGAGTACTTGAAAATGAGCGTTCGAGAATTAGAATGTTTCAAAGAAATTATATATCTCATTCTTATAGCACATTCGTGTCTATTTACTCACTTCTTTCACTTTTTTACATACGTTCCCTTCATGTTTATCGAAAACTGATTGCACCACGTGATGAAAAAAACATGCAAGTTTCACTTGCCAGCTAGGGGCAAAAATTTACAACTTTTAGGGCCAGTTTCACAAAGGTCGGTTAACTGCTAACTGACGGTTAATTGATTCTCTGTCTCTTCTTAGAGAACAAGATAGAAAAAGATAGGGAGTTGACTTGAAACCCTAAGTTAACAGATAACACAGGTTTACAAGGTTTTGTTGTTGGGCAGCTGGGGGTCGTTTCCCAAGTAATTTTCTGCGTAGAATCCGAATCCGAGGTCAGAATTGGCCCATCACATCAGGATTTTGAGATATTTGAGGTTACATACTCGAAAAATGGCTTTTTAACCTACTTTTGAGGTTATGTACAGGACGCACAAAATTTTTTAGCTCTTTTCTTTTAATTGCATCATTTAGTTCTACTCTTTCCCTTTAAAATGAGCTGTCGAATGGTCATCTACGATTTTTCCTTGCAAAGTTACGGCCATTTTAAGATAACATGATGAATTCCAAACCCTGCGCCGTTATAGCCCAACAACCTCATGAGCATTCACATTAAACCTGTAAACTTTGAACTATAAACCCGAAAACCTGGGCTGAAAACTGTATATATGGGTTTGATGGAGAATCTGAAATCAGATTTTGAAAATTCAAGATGGCGGATCCAATATGGTGTACAAAAATTTTAATTTCGTTCAAATTTGAACTGAGAATTCTCAGTTCTCAGCCCAGGTTTTCGGGTTTATAGTTCAAAGTTTACAGGTTTAATGTGAATGCTCATGAGGTTAATTGTTGGGCTATAACGGCGCAGGGTTTGGAATTCATCATGTTATCTTAAAATGGCCGTAACTTTGCAAGGAAAAATCGTAGATGACCATTCGACAGCTCATTTTGAAGGGAAAGAGTAGAACTAAATGATGCAATTAAAAGAAAAGAGCTAAAAAATTTTGTGCGTCCTGTACATAACCTCAAAAGTAGCTTAAAAAGCCATTTTTCGAGTATGTAACCTGAAATATCTCAAAATCCTGACGTGATGGGCCAATTCTGACCTCGGATTCGAATTCTACGCAGAAAATTACTTAGGAAACGACCCCCAGCTGCCCAACAACAATCATGATCCCATTTTTTATCCACCTGTGTAACCGATGTTTGTGAAACTGGCCCTTACACATCCTCCTTTACGTATATAGATATTAAATTGTATATTCCAAAGTGTTGTGAAGGCTCCCAAAAATAAAATATGTAGAACGGAGAAAGTGCCAATGTGAGCCACAAAATGAACGGAAATCGGTACTCACAAACAAAATTTCTTTTTAATTTCTTTTAAACGTTTCGACCATCCTTCGGGTCTTTCTTAGTAAAACTCGTTTAAATCGAATAAAGCATAATCTTAGGGGGTCAGAGCAATATGTGACTTGAGAATTATTCCTCTATCCACGTTAATATCAGTGAATCTCAAAATGGTCCCAGACATAAAGAAGACTGAATAACTCAAGTCGACAGAGGGATGAATCCGTTACAATGGTGTTAACACGACTGTGTTTATATTAAATTACGTTCTCATTGACACATTGAGAGTTCACAGCTAAGTAATTAATCGGAAGTTTTTTTTATAATTATTAATTTCATACATTTCACATATTTTGCATTTCACTCACTCGATTAATAAAACAAGAAATGTATCAAGGATTCTATCAATCACCATCGAGCAATTATTCGATGACTAAAACTCACTCGAAGAAAGAAACATATTATACGACAAGATACGCAACACGTTTCTATTGCGATTGATACAATAGTTATTATTAGAGTCATTAGTACATATCTATTGAGTTCCAACAACTACAACAAGTAACTTGGATGCAAATGTTAAGCTGGGTATACATCTACGAATGAACAACAAACGCGAACGTTCAGAGACTAGCGTTCATGTTCTGACGGCGTACGTTCTTCTTATCTTTGGTTTTTTATCTTTGAAGTATCGCCTCACGATAAAATCGAGTAAAACGCTGATCGAACGTTCTATTCGCATTTGCTGCTCGCCTTCGTCGGCACGCTCCACTTCGCAAAACGCGTAAGTCCCACACGCTCGTCTACTCTGATTTTTCCGTGACACGCTCGCACACTAGTGCGCACTGAGTGCGCACTAGTCAAGAGCAGCGTGTTTCATTGAGCTTTTCGGTGCGCACGAAGGCGGTGC